GAAAATTTAATAAATTATTTAAAAGAAAAAATTAAAACAATTTTTCAATACTATTTCAAACAATAAACATTTTTTAAATATTAAAATTTTTTTTTTAATATTTAATAGCAAAAATGTATATTTTTTTCAGTTTCAATCGTTTTAATGAACCGTTAATTTCTAATTACCTATATTTTGTAAATATGATATTTTTGTAACTTCATAGTTAGCATAAGCTTTTTCTATCTAATTCGCTTTCATAATCTTTTAGTTAAACTTTTCGATCTGCCCTCGCCCTACACTAGCTACAATTGCATTTTTTTCCATTTGCTTAAATTTTGTTTATCGTAGAGCAACAACCCATTGAGATTCCATGTAAAGTCTCCCGTTGCCCACAAATTTCAGATGCGCGTCCCGCACGCCCCACCGCCCCTCCGCTCAACTGCAGTCCGGAATGCCAATGGGCAGACAAGTGGGAAGCAATGCGAAACGAGCCAAGTGAATGCATGCGAATTGCAGGCGAACAACGGATGGATTTGCTCAACTGAATATTGAGTGCGAGTATTCTATTCTATACTATTCCACAATATAGAAAACCCAAAATGTTGTTTTATACCATTTGCACGCTCTCTTTCTCCTTCTCGCTCGCTTGCCTGATTGCTCTCCCTCTCCTGCACTCTGGCAGGTAAGCAAACAACAGCTACTGGTAGAGGTAAGGATTGTGGGCGGGGAGGGGATGGGTAAAAAAAAACGAGTGAAAAACAGAAATCGAATTATACAGCTCAGTGATTTTTCGGTTTTGGTGTTTGGTTGCCTGTTACTTGTAGTGTGCCTCCCCCTGCCCATCTCAGCGCCCTGTTTGAGTCTCTGGGCCGCCGTCTAGCTTTGATGTGGCATGCTACAGCTAAAAATCACAGCAGCATCCAGCACAATAAATCCATGACAGTTGACTGGCATTCGGGCGGGCAGAAGGGGTGATGCCCGGGGCTGAAGACCCGCAGACGCGACGTGCGCCTCATGGACACGTGGCAAAAGGCAACAGCAGCAGTTGCGGCGGCAGCAACAGCAGCAGCAGCAGCAGCAGCAGCAACAGCAGCAACAGCAATGGCAACAGAAATTTTCGCAGCAGCCGCAGGTTGCACGTTGAAGGGGAGGTTTGTGCTACTATTGATGTCTTTACGAGTAAATAATGTACAAACAGCTGCTTATCCGCGTTGCAGGTGGGGATTAGTGGAGGCCAGAGGAGCGGCGGCAGCTGGCTGAAGGTTTGCTATTGACATTGATTTTCGATTAGATGCCGGAAATTTGACATTCCGAGGCGCTTGCTTTTTATTACTTGGCAGCTTTAAGCAGCGACGTTCAAATAAAGTGTTTATGGAAATGTGACCCAACTTGACTTTGAGATTAGCGGCAGCAGCAGCAGCAACACCCACCCAACAGCCCACAGCCGCCTGCATAATGCAAGTGGGCGCCGGGTTTTAAAAATTCAATCAGCCAACTTTTCGATAAGCTGCAAAAGCCAACGGCCAACATTGAGCAAAAGGCGCAGACGAGCAAAATGCCAGAGAAAAGCGTCTTAAACTTTCACCATCGCTAAAATGAATTCAGCGCCTTGGTTATAGTTGGACTGCTGGCGACTGTTGGCTAGTGGTGCTGTGACAGCCGGGCAAACTGGAGAAATAGCAATGGATCGGGTATCGCTTTGAGCCAAGTTAATAACTTGAAGCCTTAGCAGTTATGAAGTTCGCGTTTTGCCTTCATGTCGTTGACTTTACATTTACATTCTTGTTATTTTTTTTTTTTTTTGCTTTTGTCGTCTGTCAGCTGATTGAAAAGTATATTTTCCATTGTGGTTGCTTTAATGTGTGCATTAATATTATTTTGTATATTATTTATTTGTGGAATGTAGAGAATTTTATTTGATACTTCTCAGGTTGTAGCTTCATGTTTTAGTGCTCGTAGTCTACTGATGCTATTTCAAGACAAATTTATTTATAGGCTAGGTCAAATTAAAATCCTTTAAGTTTTTTCTAAATTTTGTCCTTTGCAGTTTCTTTGCTAAAAAGGGAAGTGAAAGGGTTTGGCTTATGGGTTAAGAATTCCGGGTCACCTTATTCTATAATGTTGTTGCTTTTATCTTTGAGTGGAACATAGGAGTGGATAAGATAATCGACAATCCTTAACATAGAATATGATAGAGGTATGACATATGTATGTGTGCTCAAAGTACATATGAACCAAGCCAATAGGAAGAAGTAATTTTTAAATCAATTTTTAAATTTTGCAAACAAACGATCAACTGTTATTTGTTAGACACTCGTGGCTGTGTTACCCTTCAATTCTTAAAGACAGTTTTTCGCTCAGTGTAATTACGCATTGTCGACGAATCAGAGTTAAGTTTTCAGTTTCTTATTTGACTCGACGCTGCCTCTGTCTCTGTCTTTGTCTCTGTCTCTGTTTCTGCGCTCTGCCTTGCAGCTTTTACGCTCGTGTCCTAAATGATGGCAATTTAGCAACAGGCGGGCAGTGGGGCATTATGTACTAGACTCGCATGATTACAGACCGGCGCGCATAGTAGAAGGCAAGGTAGTTAGCTGGTCCCAGCAGTTGGGAGCAGCTGCTGCGGTTCCGAGACCGGGGCTCCCAACCGGGAGTCGTGTGCAATTATTTGTATTGGGCGCACAGCTGTCGCCAGCTCAGTTTGCATTTGTGCGCGGGAGCCTTTGGGATAGGGGATGGATGGGGGGAAGGGGCAAAGTTGGATAAAAGTTGGCAAGCGAGCGAAAAGGGATTTTCCTACAATTTGCCAAAGAAGCAAAGCGAAAGGTTTTCTGGCCTTCCTGCGCTGCTTCTTTTAGTCTCCTTTCATTTTAGTTTTTTCTTTCCTCTGCTTTTTTTGGAGCGTAAAGCCTATTATGTCAAACACAATAATCAACAATAAGAGGGGCAACAACAACAACAACAACAACAATAGCAACGACAACAAGAATCATGACAATGACAACGGGGCGTATGAGCATTGGTTGCCTGGCTCTGGCCGGGGTGAAAAACGGAAAATGACGTGGCTGCATATTCAAAAGGACACTCGCACTCATATGCCAAAGGGAAGTGGGGGGGGGGGGCTTGGTTAATGTGCTGGCATGTTGGCGCATGTTTGCCCTGCCACCGTTCCCAATGGGAGCTGAAAGGCAGCTCAGCTTGGCGGGCGGTCGCTGCAGCCAGAGTCGAGAGTACATTTCACACTGCTGACTGCTGCCATGTGCCCGTACTGAAGTCCAGGGGGGTCCCGGTCCGGGTCAGCGGAGCGGTTGGGTAAGTGCAAGTGTCATTGGCCTCAAAAGCCAAAGCAACACTAGCTGCAGCAGCAGCAGCAACCGCTGAGTGTCCAGCGACTGGCGACGCAATGCATCAGCAGTTTAACTTGCAGCTTCTCTCTGCAGTTTCTGGCTGCATTATTGCATCTCAACTGCAACACACTACAGAGTAAATGCCAATCGAGCTGTCATGTGTCCAGTTATTTGCCAGTATTGCGCTAAGCCGCATTCCAACTGCCATCTACTTCGCCGACAAGTGGCATGTGGCGCAAACAGTTTCAAGTTTATTGAAAATAAACTATTTTTACGTGATCGAAATGACTGCATTTTTGGACTGCTCTCACATATCCACGAATATAATTCTATAAATATTTTTTAAAATAAGAAAACATAAAGCAGTGCTATATTATTCAGAGTATATATTCTTAATATACAATATAACTTATTATCAATTTTTATTTTTTAAGGTCTTTAATGATATAAGTTTTATGTTATTTCTTAATCCTTTGAT